GTATAGTTATTACATTGTTCAGAGTATCCATCTAATTATTAATTAAAAGCGGAGTTAATAATTTAAAAGAAACATTGTTCAATGCAATTACTAAATAAAACAGACAAAATAACAAAATGGAAGTTAATGAGTTTAAAATGTAATAAAGAATTCAAAACAAAATATTAAAAACAATAATAACTTAAAAAAATAAGATAAATTAGTATTTTGTTTTTTCTTGTTGGAAAGTATTACGAAAGTGTAATTTAAATATGTGTATATGATCAATTTTCTCACATGAATAACAAAAATTATATACTTGAATGGGTATATTCCTGAATGATGGTACAATTCAGGTTTAAATTGAAATAAATATATTGAATAGCTCAAGTGATGTAGAAAGATTCTTCATCTTTTTCCTATTTGATAATATTTTATTACAACGAGAAAACATATTTGTATAGAGACAATGATTATCAATGAAATAATTCGAATTCGAATAAAAGAAAAATGTCAAAGTTTTTTTTCAGTAACTTCTTAAAAAATTGCTGTAAATATATATATTTTTAAATATGTATATTAAAACCTTATTTTCAAAATTTATTATGCAAAAACTATACCAAAATAGGAAATGATAAAAACTATAATTTTCACTTTAAAATTTTAAAAATAATATTTACATTTACTCAATCATACATATGAAGTGCCAAAATAACAGCAAAACAGTATATGCTGGTACGGAATCAAAAATTTATAAAGAGGGTTTCAGTACAACTTATAAATATTCTTGAATTATCTTGAAATTTGGTTTGATTTGCAGGTTACATATAATATCATAAGATAATATAAATCGTACAACAAATTTTTCATTTCATTTTTATTTCTTGTCATCAATAAATTTTTTTTTAATTAAATAAAACTCCAAAATTTATTGGAATGATAAATATGTTTGCATAAAGTAAAGTCTCTAAAATTAACCTTATAACTATTTGAAAATTGCACATATAATTACTAAAAAAAACCAACAGAAATGTAAAGAAATACGAATTGAATAATGAATTTTTATAAATATCTGATTTGATGCAGCAGTTCTTACCAAATAATAACACATCCAATAGAGTAGTGCGGAGCACAAAAGTCCAATTAGAATTTGAGCAATTATATTGCAAAAACCAAACCAATTACATCACAACAAATAACGCATATCAAACGAGCAACTATCTAACTATGTTCAGTAAAACTTCCAGCAAATTTCATCATTGTAAAAATGTCTATTTTTGCTGTTTTTACCCGAGGCAAAATGAAACTGTTAGGGGCACACAGGTCCCATGTCTTTTTATTGTGAAGGGATTTTACAAAATAATATCTACAATAATCAATCAATGCAAAATGTAAATTTCAAGAATATACCTTATACAGAGATAAAACTGTATATAACCTTGATCTGGTATTTTGTCAGAAATATTATTCAGCAGAGTTGAAATAACTATTAAATAAATTTATTTCTATTAAAATTGTTATAACTTTATTTACTTTTTTGTTTACTATCAAAGGTATTACTTTTCAACCTATGTAATACTTTATCGAGATGATATGAAACAAGTAGAATCTAAATAAATAACAATGCATCATATAAAACAATTAAATAACGTATATTTAAATATTCAATTGAGGTCTCGTATACTAAACATCAGTGCTCACAACGAAAGAAAATACTTCTGTTATAGATTTTCAAATATTGCCTTTTATCTCTCGATAGCAACGTCATAAAAATCAAGCTGAAGACTGGTTATCCATCGTTTTTCCTCTACTTTCAAATATTATTGTTAAAAATTCGTAACTTTACTTGTTTTTAAGATATCGGTAGAGGACCTTTTTGCACGTGGACCTTTAAGTTTCGCTTTACCCAATTATCAATTTTTGTAATTATAAGTTAGACCAAAATAACTAAAACCTGATAAAATTATGTGAGTTTCAATTTAAAATTAAGACGATGTATACTTTAATCAAACGCGAGTTATGTTGAGAATCCGTGAGGGCGATCAGTGAGCGTTCCATCCAGTTCCCACGAAATAGAAGTTTGTATTAAGGTACCTAATTAATCACAGTAATATTTTTTTCCGATACTAATATTCGGTTAATGATATGCTCCAGCAGTTTATTCGATAGTTAATAATATTTCATATCTGATGGATCGTGTGCGAGCTGCATTATAGTTTTAATGGACCTAATACGAAAATTTATTGAAAATGTGTATCTGTTACTTCTGAACCAAACCACGTGTGTGGCGGTCGTAATTTATGACCGCCTAATGACCGCCGTGCACGGATGCCTTCCTTATGATTTAAATATGCATTACATAATATATATATATATATATATATATATATATATATACATAATATATTGAGGTATTTCTATTATATAATAGAGACTGAGTACCGGTTGTTGCCAGGGTACAGTAGTGACAGTCGTGATGTTATCATTGTTTCCTTTTTCACTTAATTTTTAAGTTATTGTT